TTTTTGATCTTGTTTTCCAATTTTCAATTTTTAAATCACTTTTGAAGCAAGTTACTTTTAAAGGTATTCTAAGAGAAAATGAATAAATATTCAGTTACATGATGTCAAACATACAGATATATGGGATTAAAATATCCAAGCCAATGCAAATGGCCAACACTACAAAGAACAAGATATGTTTGTAAAACATGTATGCCCCCTATCAGCAGCCAATTAGTCATGTGATAAGGTTATTATGCATGACTTCTGACCCAGTGATCAAACAATTAATAAAGGTTATCAATTATCTACTGGTCATGACCTTAACCTTTGACCCCTTGACCCAAAACTCAAAAGGGGTCATCTGCTGGTCACGACCAATCATCATACAAAGTTTGAAGTTCTTAGGCCTAAGCGTTTTTAGTTAATTGATCGGAAACCGTTTATACCTACAAGGTCAATGTGACCTTGACCTTTGACCCCTTGACCCCAAAATTAATAGGTCATCTGCTGGTCATGACCAATCACCATACCAAGTTTGAAGTTCCTAGGCCTAAGGGTTATTTAGTTATTGATCGGAAACCGTTTTAACATACAAGGTCAATGTGACCTTGACCTTTGACCCCAAAACAATAGGGGTCATCTGCTGGTCATGATCAATCACCATGCCAAGTTTGAAGTTCCTAGGCCGAAACGTTCTTTAGTTATTGATCAGAAACCGTTTTTACTTACAATGTCAATGTGACCTTGACCTTTGACCCCTTGACCCCAAAATTAATAGGTCATCTGCTGGTCATGACCAATCACCATACCAAGTTTGAAGTTCCTAGGCCTAAGGGTTATTTAGTTATTGATCGGAAACCGTTTTAACATACAAGGTCAATGTGAACTTGACCTTTGACCCCAAAACAATAGGGGTCATCTGCTGGTCATGACCAATCACCATGCCAAGTTTGAAGTTCCTAGGCCGAAGCGTTCTTTAGTTATTGATCAGAAACCGTTTTTACTTACAATGTCAATGTGACCTTGATCTTTGACCCCTTGACCCAAAACTCAATAGGGGTCATCTGCTGGTCACGACTAATCATCATCCAAAGTTTGAAGTTCCTAGGCCTAAGTTAATTGATCGGAAACCGTTTAAACCTACAATGCAAATGTGACCTTGACCTTTGACCCCTTGACCCCAAAATCAATAGGTCATCTGCTGGTTATGACCAATCACCATACCAAGTTTGAAGTTCCTAGGCCTAAGGGTTCTTAAGTTATTGATTGGAAAGCATTTTTACCTGCAAGGTCAATGTGACCTTGCCCTTTGACCCCTTCACCCCAATATCAATAAGGGTCATCTGCTGGATATGATTAATCACCATACCAAGTTTGAAGTTCCTAGGCCCAATGGTTCTTTAGTTATTGATCGGAAACCGTTTTTACCTAAGAGGTCAATGTGACCTTGACCTTTTAACCATGACCCCAAAATCAATAGGGGTCATTTGCTGATTATGACCAAACACCATGCCAAGTTTGAAGTTCCTAGGATTGAAGTGTTCTTTAGTTATTGATCAGAAACCGTTTTTACTTACAATGTCAATGTGACCTTTACCTTTGACCCCTTGATCCCAAAATCAATAGGGGTAATCTGCTGGTCATGACAAATCACTATATCAAGTTTGAAGTTCCTAGGCCTAAGCGTTCTTAAGTTATTGATCAAAAAACCGTTTTTACTTACAAGGTCAATGTGACCTTGACCTTTGACCCCTTGACCCAAAACTCAAAAGTGGTCATCTGCTGGTACGACCAATCATCATTTAAAGTTTGAAGTTCCTAGGCCTAAGTGTTTTGAGTTAATTGATCGGAAACCGTTTTTACCTACAAGGTCAATGTGACCTTGACCTTTGACCCCTTGACCCCCTAAAACAATAGGTCATCTGCTGGTCAGGACCAATCACCATACCAAGTTTGAAGTTCCTAGGCCTAAGGGTTCTTAAGTTATTGATTGGAAAGCATTTTTACCTACAAGGTCAATGTGACCTGATTATGACCAAACACCATGCCAAGTTTGAAGTTCCTGGGATTGAAGTTTTCTTTAGTTATTGATCAGAAACCGTTTTTATTTACAATGTCAATGTGACCTTAACCTTTGACCCCTTAACCCCAATATCAATAGGGGTCATCTGCTGGTCATGACCAATCACCATACCAAGTTTGAAGTTCCTATGCCTAAGGGATCTTTAGTTATTGATCGGAAACTGATGTTACCTAAGAGGTCAATGTGACCTTGACCTTTGTCCCCTTGACCCCAAATTCAAAAGGGGTCAACTACTGATCAAGACCAATCATCATATCAAGATTGAAGTCCCTAGGCCTAAGGGTTCTTTCGTTAAATCGGTAAACGTTTTTATCTACAAGGTCAATGTGACCTTGATCTTTGACTCCTTAACCCCAAAATCAAAAGTGTTCATCTGCTGGTCATAACCAATCACCATAGCAAGTTTGAAGTTCCTAGGCCTAAGGGTTCTTTAGTTATTGATCGGAAACTGATTTTACCTAAGAGGTCAATGTGACCTTGACCTTTGACCCCTTTACCCCAAATTCAATAGGGGTCATCTACTGATCATGACCAATCACCATATCAAGTTTGAAGTCCCTAGGCCTTAGGGTTCTTTCGTTAAATCGGAAAACGTTTTTACCTACAAGGTCAATGTGACTTTGACCTTTGACTCCTTAACCCCAAAATCAATAGTGGTCATCTGCTGGTCATAACCAATCACCATAGCAGGTTTGAAGTTCCTAGGCCTAAGGGTTCTTTTGTTATTGATCAGAAACCGTTTTACCCAAGAGGTCAATGTGACCTTGACCTTTGACCCCTTGACCCCAAATTCAATAGGGGTCATCTACTGATCATGACCAATCACCATATTAAGTTTGAAGTCCCTGAGCCTTAGGGTTCTTTCGTTAAATCGGAAAACGTTTTTACCTACAAGGTCAATGTGACCTTGACCTTTAACTCCTTAACCCCAAAATCAATAGTGGTCATCTGCTGGTCATAACCAATCACCATAGCAAGTTTGAAGTTCCTAGGCCTAAGGGTTCTTTTGTTATTGATCAGAAACCGTTTTACCCAAGAGGTCAATGTGACCTTGACCTTTAACTCCTTGACCCCAAAATCAATAGGGCTCATCTACTGATCATGACCAATCACCATACCAAGTTTGAAGTTCTTAGGCTTTAAAGTTCTTCAGTTATTGATCGGAAACCGTTTTTGCTTACAAGGTCAATGTGACCTTGACCTTTGACACCTTGACCCCAAAATCAATAGGGGTCATGTACTGATCATGAGCATTCACCATACCTAGTTTGAAGTTCCTAGGCCTTAAGCTGCTTTAGTTATTGATCAGAAACCGTTTACTTACAAGGTCAATGTGACCTTGACCTTTGACCCCTTTGACCCCAAAATCAATAGGGGTCATCTTATGGTCATGACCAATCACCATATCAAGTTTGAAGTTCCTAGGCCTAAGGGTTCTTTAGTTATCACTCGGAAACCATTTGGTCTACGGACCGACGGACCGAAGGACCGACAAGTGCAAAGCAATATAACCCCTTTTCTTCGAAATTGGGGCATAATTAAATAAAGTTATATCACAAAATGATTAGAAAACAATATTTAATCTTGCGACATAAATTCATGATAAAAAGTTCATCATTACGTTATTATACTTTTGAATTATAATTTATTTTTGATCGTGAATATTATTAGTATTATACATATGCATATTTATGTTATACGTATTGTCAATGCCATAATGACATTTTGTAAAATGCCAATGTTAATGCGGAATGCCAATTTACTTTAAATTTTGAACTTTAAAGCATTGCGAATTTGATATAAACTTTCCCTTCTCAACAATATTTGTGTGCTCCTTGTGTTGATTGCCTATTGGAATCCCGGGACCAAGCTTGGTCGGATATTTTTTGGCAACAACATTCGTGTATTATAGCAATATAATTAATAATATGCGATAAACCGACAGATCATCAGACAGTACTTTGCCGTAATTTGCAATCGAATTTAAGAAGACATCTCTTTACTGTGAGAGATATATAATACATTGATATACTGATAGTTTGATTGAGAACTTAGTTAAGTTTTCAGATACTCTGGCAATTCAAATATTATATTGCGACCGTCCAGTTTATCTTGTGGAGGAAGACCTCAGAGGCCCTTACGTGCACCAGCAAGCACTTAAGTAGAACCACTGAGTCATCGTTAAATATCTGGATAGCTTCCTGATATGATAAAATTTAATTTTCCTTAGCGTAAATATCAAGTGGTTTGATGTCAGTGACCTGGACCACGGGGAGTACGCTAACCATTCATATGCTACATGTAAAATGAATAATGAATTAATACACTTGACTTTAACACGATTAAAACTTTATACATTTGCATTTAATAATAAACTTTCATATTATACTTCCGCGGATAATCTGAGTGTTTGAAATATCCTTATTGAATAATTACATATATTTGACACTTATCTTTTTCAAATTTCGTCATGTTTAAATGTTCATGTCATTTATCAAGTAAATCGTGTCTGAAATTTTCAAATGTCGTTCGTTCCATGTGCATATTCTTTTTATCATCTTCATAAAACTGTTTTCACATAATTACAATAATGTCTTTCTTTTTTTCAAGCCTTACATGTGCTTTTTATACAAACAGAAACGGATCAATACTTTACAATGCGTTGAATAAAATCAATTGGACAAAATGGTTTCCTTTACTGCTTTGAATGACATTCGCTGTAAATTAAATTGACGACAAATTAGATAAATTGCCTTTAATTATGACTTTTCATATGAGAAAATATAAGTCTTGATTACATCAGTAAAACGATCATCAATCCTAAAGTTTTAATTCGATTTCATCAATAAATATTGTTCTTTACAGATACAAGTTACATATTTTCGACTTGGGACTCTTATGAGGAAACTTAACATATTTATCAGAAATCTATGTACAAGTAATGCTTATGTGTTGTGGAATAATAAATAAATCGTCAAATCTTTAATTTACCCTTTAAACGAATATCACTAATCCAAATCATATGGTCTATAGCACTGATTATTAAGATACAAATTGAGGTCAGCATACGATTTTCTATATTGTTTTAGATTATTCAGCCTTCTGCATATTTCGCAATGTTTATTTCCAGGCCATCTTATACTTACGTATTTGCTTTTTATCTTAAGGTAATTTATGTATCTTAATCTATCATTTCCAAGTTTCGAAAGGAAATTCACTAATGTTGAAATATCTTTAAAGTCGGAGGTATTTATATACGTATCCGTCGGAAGAAGTCGATTATAATCTGCACCACCCCTAACAACAATAATCCAGCTTGAATTATAGTTATTAAAATACTTTTCTGAAATATAATCAGTACAAAGAGAGTTTTCAAATGCTAATACAAATTTGTAAAGAGGGATTATCTGTTTTAGTTCACGGGTGTCTATTTTTCTTCCGTTTGAACTACAACCACCAAATATGTCAACATTAAATCCATTTCTTATCATCTCTAAGACAAACTGTCTTCTTGCACTAGCAACTTGACAATGACTCACCATCCATAAGGCGTTCCTCGTCTTTTTGTCATAAATAGTATTGTAATCTATCATATCAACCCCTGATGAAGGTATCAAGAAACCATACGGATTGGGAATGTCTGAATCAAGCCTGTATAAACAAGACCAATTCATTGTACTTTGCCATAATGGTGACATGTAATCTGAATTGTAATAATGCTCGGGGGGTTCAACAGAGGTAAATATCCAAGCCTGATTTGGATTTCTGTTACTTGCATTTATAGGCGGATATTCTCCCATTCTTTCATTTCGTATGCCAATGTAAAATATTACAGCATCGGCAATCATCAGTTTAGATCTGTTTTGTGAAATGATGCAATTTGTACATTCACAGTCGTTGTATATTGCATCTTTCTTTCCTTTAATTCTCATAAATTGCGGTGTATTGTAAAATAAAATTAGCTTATATCCAACATTTGTATTGCATGTTTTTCGTGTTAAATTTCTGAAATGTGTATTAAAATATAACACATTTTGTGGAGTTGAAGGTTTATTGTCACGATTTAATACTGGATCAAAATGTAATTGCTCCAATTTATATTTATGAAATAATGTGAATTTGCTTAAATGTCGAAACACAATTATAAATTGAAAACAAAAGAAAACAAGCAGAACAGTTAAAGCACGAGACCAAACTTTCATATTGCTTTTGATACTGTTCTTAAACTTGAGAAATTTCAATGGACACACTTTTAGATATAATTTCCTCTGACACAGTGTATCCCTATTCTATAAAGAGGTTTTTAACCCACAAAAAATTGAGGTTGGTAAAATATAATTTATTGTTTTATATAAGAATGTGCAAGTATTTCAGCTTAAACAAACACCTTATCTGAGAATAATAAACATAGTGGACACTGAAATATCTAAATGTACTTCATAATCTGTAAAAGAATGCACTTTTCTAATTTGCCCTCTTTGTCTAAAATAAGAAAGAAATTTTCCAAAAAAAGGTGTGTGTGTGTGTTGATTACTCAAATTTATAGATTTCTGAAATTGTCCTAATGAAAATCGCATCTTAGTTTCAAAATATATTTAATAGTACACTTTTCATTATTCCAACATTAAATTTCTAATAAGCATTGTTATGTTTACCGTGCTGGACTGTCTTCAGTGATTAAGTGTTCTCACTTTGTCTCTGGATAATTCGTTTAAACATAGCAGAGATATGTTTTACTCCTTATTCTGATATGTTTGGTGTCCTGCTAGGCTCCTTGCCACTGGCTCTCTGTCGGGGCATACGCTCAATGTAGTTGTCAGTAGTCCGTTGATAGAAACATTATTTATATTAGTTGCAGCACAAATAAAGATACGTAAGGTTAATAGACTAAGAAATAAAGCCATAACTAAAATTTTAATTTAAATATTCAAATTATTTGCTACAGTGCTGAAATCCGTATTTAGCTGAGTCCAAATGATCTCCCTTTCGTGGTCGTCTTTTGAATCTTTAAAACTTTAGATAAGAACTAGAGTATGACATTGCATACCGTTACAATAAAGACATGATATTTCAAAATGCGCCACATGAACAGTGAGGGGTGTTGCACATATTCATTATCCCTCATGTACAAAATCAATAAAACCGAGTCTGCAATTTTCTCTTGTAATTTTGTTGTGATTAATGCTTCCGAGGGATCACTTTGTTCCCAGATTCTTACATTCCAGGTAGCTCTTTAAAAAAAAAAAAATACTAGTAAATATTTTCCAATTTAGTCCTTGAAATATCATTTATTTAAAAGATAATATTGTTACCAACATTCGTAAATAAAATAATATCGTTATTAAATCATTCGAAAGTAATAAATTCCTTTTCACATTTTAATTGACACACTTAATTTCCTGTCTAGTTAGTCTTCACGAACAATTATATTTACAATCGTATTGTCTGTGTAAAAGTATTGGGTTTAACACATTCATGTCTCGACTGTCATTAGAAAAAGGTCACTGTCAGAATCACTTTGGAACCATTGAGGTTATTTACAAGTGGTGTTACCTGTCAAAAACGTCTTGCTGTTTATACAGTTGCATGGAAATGCATTTATCCGCAAACATTTTTGCTTTTTGTTCAAAAGACATAGAAATGTCGCATGGTATTCATTTTCCGGGAATATGTAAACCCTTCGTTGTATTGAATGTGATGCCCTTCTCATAAATTATGCCAATTTATACCTCATCTAAACCTGAAGTTACATCTACTCAACAAACATGTAGAGGATTCTAAATATTTATCATTTATCTGATATTCCATCTGTTCCCTTATCTTTGTCTGGATCAGCAATTTTTTACTTATTTCTTTGGAAAAATTCAAATGGTACATCGGTGAACAGTCGATTACTTACAATGTATACTTCTGCTCGGTATTTAAAAAGCTTTTGTGTTGATTCATATGATGTTAGTAAGAGCCGTGATTGACACTGATTATAATTTGAAAATAGTTTTCATTACGGTTAAATGATGCTCTTTCCCTTGGTCTTACCATTGTTTACCCCCACACTTTCTTAACTTTACACATGCCGACGATACGTTAATTCTTGATAAACACTCTTGATTGCAACTTGACGCAGTCCAACTGGCTTTAAAGACTTCTATGCTGTGGTATTTTCACAATTCTTCTGACTTTCGTTTTTGCTACGGGATTGACAATAACAATTAAGATGATCTTCTTCATGACAATCACAGCATTCTTTTTGATGGCTGATCTGAGTATTTGGAATTATTATTATATTTATTTTACACTAAAATATTGAACCGTTAGATCTTGGAACATATATACATTATACGTTAAAGGTGTAATTCATATTGATTAGATTTTCAGACACGAAGTGTTCCATTTATTTGTCTTCATCTCATGTGTCAACTTAACTATCTTCAGTGTTCATTATTCTTTGTTTCTGGCGATTTTTAACCTTTTATTTGCAGTACTCCAACCAAGTCATCTCATCGACAGTTTCAACAAAAACATATGATAAAATTATGCACTTCGGGGTAAAATCATAGTCATTTTAGCCATACAGAAACTGTGTTGTGTTATAAGCTGTATTGGTGAGTCAGTATATCTTTGGCAGTTTTATTAAAAAGTTCAAGTATGTCAAGAGTTTCTACTATTATTAAATTGCTGACTATATAGGAAATAATAAAGAATTTGAAAAAAAATACATTTTCCTTTATATAATAGTAAGTGTTAATTTGTTATTCGAAAACTATCGGACATTTCTCTTTTAGAAACAAAAATGGCTGGAGCGTGTTATACTTCACAACAATCGCCTCGCTGGTATAATTTCCTCTCTCTGTTCTTACACACCGACTCACTGACGGCGCTATTTTGTTTGAAATCTGATAAAAAAAAAAGCCAATGTGTTGTTGAATTCTGTTTCAAAAACTATCTAGAATAAAAGGTGGTCTTACTAAGAAATAAATTCCGAAACCAATATCTTTAATTCATTTATTAACGGAATACAGACGTTTAAAGTTTTGTTTATGTGACATCAAAATGTAGTGTAAAACCGTTAGAATAAGAACGCTATTTCAATATTGCAAACCAGTTAAAAACCATTCATTTCACTGTAAAGACTTTGTACTTCGCTTGTAAAATCAAAAGTTTATTAAGAAAATATCAATGTTTTCAAAATTTGCTATTCTCAAAAAAATTCTGCAGACAGAAGATACAAAATATACTTTGAATGTCTGACCATATATAGAAGACAAAACGGAGTACTCGATTAAGGTAGCTCGCTACTTTCCGACCGAAATTTGACAATATCTCAGATCTTGATGATTTCTGGTATACAGACATGTAGATATGTAAGCTTTACTTCTGCAGCATTATTTTATAAATAAACAGCGTTACTATGACGTCAAAGCGCCCTCTATCGGTGGCGGCGAAATTGCGGTTTTTTATCAATAAACCGATCTGTTATTATCAATTTTCATCCGATTTCCTTCATTTAAATTTTATAATGTTCAGTAAATGTTTGTCTTTGTAACGATGTCTTTCTTGAACATTTGCCTAATACTCTGCGATTCTACGTTATTTTCCCTCACGTTCTGACGTCCATTTTTGATGCAAATATTGCGCGATATCGCAATAAAGATTGCGAAATAATAAAAAATCAACACGGTGAATTTTGCTATAATTTTTTTAACATGTAGTGAAGTCATAAAAGAAAATATTTATGCAATAAAAATATAGGGTCAACGCGTAAGATATTTTGCTATTACTATTTGAATATAAAATAAAGGGTGAGTAAAACGTAATGATTTTGGTGACGTCAAATATATTACTCAAGGAAATTTTCACGACTTTTTTCATTAAATAACATACTGACAGGAATAAAAATGTGTAAAACCATCAACAATAATAGTATGTAGACATGTTCCGTAAAAATGTTCTTTTAAAAGTCCTGTCAGATGCCTGCATTTCGATGAATATCTTCAATTATATACATGTACATCAAATCAGGGTATAACTGTCTGCAAAAGTTGGTATCAATCGCTGAAAAACTGCAACGAATGGATATAAATACCTCGAGGACTGAAAGACAATTCAGAATATTGAAAGATATTATTAAAAGGCCACCTAAGTGGAAATTATAAAAACATAAATTTTGCAAAGAATGTCAGAAAAAAGAATGAAAAGGCTGGTGCAGTTGCAATGTCATCATGTTAGGTGTATCTCGGTACAACATAAACTTCCATGTTATCATATGTAACAATTTTGAATTGTATATATCAGTTAGTAAGAACAGAGACATAGTCTGTGGTAGGAAATGTATCAAATTTACGTTTCAAAAATATATGATCAACTGGAAGTAGCAACGATTTGTACGTAAGTCATGATTCACTGGTAGTCTTAATTATATTATAAAATCTAGCAGACATTTAATTCAAAAATAAATTTTCTACACGTATAAAAATTATTTATTAACAGCCATCAGTTATTCTATTTTCTCTCGCAGCTAAAAACCCTGCACTAAGCGTGAGACTCGGATTTAAAGCAGGAATCACGCTCTCATGCTATGGCTTTAATTTCTCACGTATTTCACATAATTATAGATATTCTTATTTATTTTAAACTAGCTGACTTGCGGTATGCGTCTACTAGCGCATCTTTGAGGCGACCTGAAGCCGCGATCATTTCTCACTTAAAGGCGAAAGATCCGTTGATTTATTTTGTATGTTTAGAAGCGGAGAGTTTTGCATATTAAATACAGATTCCCTTGTATTGAAGGCGATTATGTAGGATTCTGAATTTGTGTGATTATGGTTGTGGGAGAAGCTCGTTTTTTGTCTGCACATAATGCAGTGCTATGTAGAGCCTACGAAAATAATGAACTATGTATTTTATGTTTTATATCTTCTTATTTTTTAATATTGGGTTTAACGCCGCTTTCAACAGTTTTTCAATTAAAGCGGAGGGAATTTAACGAAACCAGTGTTTTTCACAGTATCAACTTCTCTTTGGAAATGAATGACAGCAGTCCGAGGTGAACCTTGGATCATTTCATAC